GTCACCCCCCAGCCATGATTGTCACTGTCACCTCCCGTCTGGTTGTCACTGTCACCCCACAGCCGGTTGTCACTGTCACCCCCCGGCCGGTTGTCACTGTCACCCACCAGCTGGCTGGGGTTGAGGAAGTTGCTGGTGCATTTCTTCTTCATGTCCCTCTCCTCCCGGCTGGGGCTCTCTCCTCCCGAACACTTATCCCCGGGGATCTTCCGGTACCTGGAGATGGGACGGGGGTAGGAGGTGACACTCGGTGACACCCCCCCGGTTCCAAGGTGACACGGGGAGGGGGGGGGGAAAGACTGATCCTGAGGATTTTGGGGGCTTTTACCCGCTGGTTTTGAGCAGCTCCCGCCTCCCGTAGAGACAGAACTCCAGGTCGTGGCCCTTCAGCTCCGGTTGCTCCACACACACCGACTGGTTCTCCGGGCGGTAGTACCCAAAATCGCTGCGGGGGAAGAAGAAATGGGGGGGTTATGAGCTTTTTATGAGTTTTTAAGAGTTTTCATGAGTTTTCATGAGCTTTTTATGAGTTTTTAGGAGTTTTCATGAGCTTTCATGAGCTTTTTATGAGTATTTGAGAGTTTTCATAAGTTTTCATGAGCTTTTTATGAGTTTTTATGTGTCTTCATGACCTTTTTATGAGTTTTTAAGAGTTTTCATAAGTTTTCATGAGCTTTTCATGAGTTTTTAGAGCTTTCATGAGTTTTTTATGAGTTTTTAAGAGTTTTCATGAGCTTTTCATGAGTTTTTAAGAGTTTTCATGAGCTTTTTAGGAGTTTTTAAGAGTTTTCATGAGCTTTCACGAGCTTTTTATGAGTTTTCATGAGCTTTTTAAGAGTTTTCATAAGCTTTCATGAGCTTTTCAAGAGTTTTCATGAGCTTCTTATGAGTTTTTATGTTTTCATGAGCTTTCATGAGCTTTTTACAAGTTTTTAAGAGTTTTCATGCTTTTTATGAGTTTTTATGAGTTTTTAAGAGTTTTCATGAGTTTTCATGAACTTTTAATGAGTTTTCATGAGCTTTTTATGAGTTTTCAAGAGTTTTCATGAGCTTTTTAAGAGTTTTTAAGAGTTTCCATGAGTTTTCATGAGCTTTTTATGAGTTTTTAAGAGTTTCCATGAGTTTTCATGAGCTTTTTATGAGTTTTTAAGAGTTTCCATGAGTTTTCATGAGCTTTTTATGAGTTTTTAAGAGTTTCCATGAGTTTTCATGAGCTTTTTATGAGTTTTTAAGAGTTTCCATGAGTTTTCATGAGCTTTTTATGAGTTTTTAAGAGTTTCCATGAGTTTTCATGAGCTTTTTATGAGTTTTTAAGAGTTTCCATGAGTTTTCATGAGCTTTTTATGAGTTTTTAAGAGTTTCCATGAGTTTTCATGAGCTTTTTATGAGTTTTTATGAGTTTTCATGAGTTTTCATGAGCTTTTTATGAGTTTTTAAGAGTTTCCATGAGTTTTCATGAGCTTTTTATGAGTTTTCATGAGTTTTCACAGGCTTTTCATGAGTTTTCACGAGCTTTTCATGAGTTTTCATGAGCTTTCATGAGCTTTTTAAGAGTTTTTGTGAGCTTTTTAAGAGTTTCCATGAGCTTTCATGAGCTTTTTATGAGTTTTTAAGAGTTTTCATGAGCTTTTTACGAGCTTTCATGAGCTTTTTAAGAGTTTTCATGAGTTTTCATGAGCTTTTTATGAGTTTTTATGAGCTTTCTCAGGGCCACAGCCACCTGGGAGGGTGACAGTTGGGTGGTGGGCCGGGGACACGGATGGGGGACAGAAGGTGGGGACGGAAGGTACCAGAGGAAATCCTGGAGGGTGCAGGGGCAGACGGAGGGCTGTTTGGTGACGGCGTAGTCCCGGCCGTTTTGACAGACGGAGGATTTGCGGAGGCGCCGGTACTGCTCCTTGTAGCCCAGTATGCAGCCGTCACTGGGGTCACTGGGATCGCTGGAGTGAGCCAGCCAGATGGTGTAGTCCTTCTCCTCGCCTGCCACCAAGGGAGGGAGGTCAGGGAGGTTGTGTGTCCCCCTCCTCCCCACACACACACCCCGCCGTGGGGATGGGTGGGATGAGGCCACAGGACCCACCACCGCTCACCCCGACACGTTGTCCCCCACGGAGGGGACCCAAGGGACACGTTGTCCCCAAGAGAGACTCTGCCAAGGGCACCCGCACCCAGGGATGGGGGCAAAAGCGTCCCCCAGTCCAGCTCGGGTTGTCCCCAGTCGGGTTGTCACCATCCCCGGTTGTCCCCAGCTCCAGTTGTCCCCATCCCCAGGTTGTCCCCATCCAAGTCCAGCCCAGGTTGTCCCCATCCCAGGTTGTCCCCAGCCCTGGTTGTCCCCATCCAACACCAGCCCAGGTTGTCTCCATCCAACACCAGCCCAGGTTGTCCCCAGCTCTGGTTGTCCCCATCCCCAGGTTGTCCCCAGCCCTGGTTGTCCACAGCCCTGGTTGTCCCCATCCAAGACCAACCCAGGTTGTCCCCATCCCCAGGTTGTCCCCAGCCCTGGTTGTCCCCATCCAAGACCAGCCCTGATTGCTCCCAGTCCTAGTTGTCCCCAGCCCTCGTTGTCCCCATCCAACACCAGCCCAGGTTGTCCCCAGCCCGGGTTGTACCCACCCAAGGCCAGCTGTGGTTGTCCCCATTCCCAGGTTGTCCCCAGGTCTGGTTGTCCCCATCCAAGGCCAGCCGTGGTTGTCCCCATCCCCAGGTTGTCCCCAGGCCTGGTTGTCCCCATCCAACACCAGCCCAGGTTGTCCCCATCCAACACCAGCACAGGTTGTCCCCATCTCCAGGCTGTCCCCAACCCTGGTTGTCCCCATCCAAGACCAGCCCTGCTTGACCCCAGCCCTGCTTGTCCCCATCCCAGGTTGTCCCCAACCCAGGTTGTCCCCACCCAACAACAGCCCAAGCTGTCCCCATCCCCAGGTTGTCCCCATCCAACACCAGCCGTGGTTGTCCCCATCCCCAGGTTGTCCCCAGCCCAGGTTGCCCCCATCCAACACCAGCCCAGGTTGTCCCCATCCCCAGGTTGTCCCCGTGGGGTCCCCGTTGGCTCTCACAGGTCCTGCTGAGCAGTTGGCTGAAGTCGATGGTGTAGGAGACCCACTTGCGGGAGAGGAAGTTGCCGCGGAAGCCCCAGACGCTGACGTTCATGGACCGAGCCCCCGGTTCGGAGGCCAGACCCGTGAAGAAGATGGGCTCCTTGGAGAAGGTGTATTTGTACCAGCACTGCCCCTCATCCGTGGAGAACCTACCAGTGATGGGGACAATGGGGACAACCCATCAACCACCCCATCGTGTTGGGTGTCCCTCAACTCCGGTTGGCCATGGGGGACAAGGCCTGAACGTACTCGAGGACGTTGACGGGTTGGCTGGTGTGCTCGATGGCCACGATGAGGCCTCCAGAATCCAAGATGGCGTAATGGTGTGGGCCCTCCAACATCCGAGCCCAGGTGTAGCCCCCGTCGTCCGAGATGTAG